ACCTCGAGGGAACTAGCCGTATATATATAAACGACCATTTAACTGTCCAAAATAAATTACTACTAAATAAGGCTAAGAAACTGGCTAAAGAATACGACTTTGAATTCATTTGGGTAAAAAACTGTAAAATCTTTGCGAGAAAAAACCAAATGTCAAAGTCATTTGTGATAAAAAACGACAAAGATCTGTCCAAAATTCATTAATTTTAATTTATCCTATTTACTTTTTCATATTTTCATTAGTGTTACATATTATGTCCTTGCTATGTCATTTATCTTATTCTTACACGAAAGCTATGAATGTCGGTTGTTGTTTGCTTGTACTGGGCCGAGGAACTCTAGTCCTCGAACCAATACTTTGTTTGTTGAATCATACCACTGTCTCACTAGTAACTTTTGGATTGTATTACTCATTTACTATTTTCTACTCCTCGCAGATCGTTATTCAAGTGTGGCTCGTCAGTGACTTTATTGTTATACCCACTTACTTAGTTTCATATTTTATTACTCCCTCACATATTAATTATAACAGTTTATTGTTATTACTTCTAATTACATATTTGAACCATATACATTTCGAACCCAGTGGCCTGTTTCTCTTGCGTTGTTCACGTGATTCTACTCAACCGGCGCGCGCCTTTCATTCTAATTCTTTAATCATCTATTTAAATTCACACCTAAGTATTGTTGTAGCGATTATCAATGTCTAACCTTAATTTTTACTACCAAAACTGTCGAGGGCTCCGTACTAAGACATCAATATTCTTTCGTAACCTTTGTATGAACAACTATGACATTATTTTGCTGACTGAGACCTGGTTGGTCGATAGTGTGCGTGATTGTGAGCTGTTTGATCATCGGTACATAGTATTTCGTCGCGACCGTGACTACGCTCTTACAGATCAATCCAAGGGGGGTGGAGTGCTGGTTGCTGTCCTACGACGATTGCTTGTCGAACATAACCCAGGTTGGCGGTCAAGCGCTGAGGATATCTGGGTAACGCTGAAAATTCGCAATGCACACAAAAACACAATTACTATTCATGTAGGTACCGTATATCTCTGTCAACAAAACAGGGGTAACTCCTTTATTGTACAGCTTAACAACTTTACAAGTTCGCTCAAAAATCTAATTGAACTGAATACTTCTGATTACTTCTTGGTACTGGGAGACTTTAATATGAGTGATATTTCCTGGGTTTTACATTATGACGGGCTACAAGCGTCTCTTACAAATAACATACACCACAATAACTTTATTAGTACCCTAAGAGAATGTGGTCTTGTTCAATACAACTCACACAAAAATCATGTTGGTGGAATATTGGATTTAGTTTTGTGTAATGATGTTGTCTCCGTTTCAACTTGTCCGGACCCACTAGTTAAAGAAGACCCGTACCACAGGAGCCTGATTATCAGACCGGTATTTTTCAAACCTGAATTACTTAAAAGCTGTCCCCGTAACATATTTTCATACCACCGCGCTGACTATGACAGCATTCGCAAGGAGCTCTCCGATGTCGACTGGCTGACTGTACTTGGTGCTGACCGTATTGACGATGCAGTGAACAGTTTTTATGGAATTTTGTACCACCTTAGAAATAAATATGTACCAAAAGGTACAACTAAAAATACAAATTACCCACCGTGGTACAACTCTGCTCTTATTAAGTGTATAAAAGAAAAATTTAAATATTTTAAAAAAATTAAAAATTATAACAACCGATCTGATTTACACACCTTCAACCTGCTTCGAACTAGAGTGAAAAAACTGGAGGAGATTTGTTACAAGAATTACATTACGAAAATTGAGGATTCCATCACTAAAAACCCTAAGCTTTTTTGGTCACATGTAAAGAGCAAACGAGGTAATAGTAATTATCCCGCGATGATGACCTACGCTGACTGCTCTAGTGACAATGGAGCAGGTATTAGCGAGCTATTCTCGGAATACTTCTCTTCGAATTTCCTCTCTAATGACAACGCTACTACTTGCTCGCTGATTAGTGTTCCACTAAATGTTGGTCAAGCCTGTGACATCTCCACGGTTGAGGTTAAAACTGAACAAGTCCTAAAGCTCCTAAAAGGCCTTGATGTTTCTAAGGCGGCTGGCCCGGATACTGTACCGGCAACTTTTTTGATATCGTGTGCCAATGAACTGTCTACTCCCATTACTCTGCTCTTTCGGCGTTCGCTGAATGAGGGTGTCATGCCTTCCACATGGAAGTCTGCACTTGTCACACCTATACATAAAAAAGGATCGAAGAGCGAAATTGTTAACTATAGGCCCATCTCTAAATTATGTCTAATAGCAAAACTACTTGAGCGTATTGTTTTCAGTCAACTATATGAGGCAATTAAATCTGTGTTTATTCCTGAACAGCATGGTTTCTTAAAGGGTAAGTCAACTGCTACCAATCTGGTGGTATTTAATGAATACTTAACCAGCAACATGGACAGTGGCAATCAAGTTGATGCGATCTATACTGACTATAGTAAGGCTTTTGATCGTATAGACCATAAACTCCTACGGACCAAACTTCTAGATCTTGGTATCCATGGTAATCTATATAACTGGTTATCTTCTTATCTTCTGAACAGGTCTCAGGCAGTAGTGCTAAATGGTTACACTTCATCATGGGTTAATATACCGTCTGGAGTTCCTCAAGGTTCTCTGTTAGGCCCGCTCTTATTTGTTATCTTTGTTAACGACATTGGTTCCTGTTTTATGCATTCCAATTTTCTTTTATTCGCTGATGATATGAAAATTTTTAAGACAGTTAACAACTTGACTGATGCAAAATTATTGCAAGAAGATCTTCAGCGACTTGACACATACTGTTGCTATAACAACTTGGACCTCAATGCTTCTAAATGTTTCTCCATGAGCTTCACACGTAAGCGTCAAATACTCCATTCTAATTATGTTATCAAGGGCCATATATTGGAGAGGAAAACTGTACTTAGGGATCTGGGCGTGGTGCACGACAGCAAACTTCTATTTGACAGGCATGTGAATCACATAGTTGACAGGGCTTTTAGAGCACTGGGTTTTATAATTCGTTGTTCCAGTGATTTCAGAAATATGAAAACTATCAAAGTTTTGTACTGTGCTTACGTGCGGAGTCACTTGGAATACGCTGTTCAGATTTGGAACCCATATTACAGTTGTTACTCCAATGAGATTGAGAAAATACAGAAGAAATTTATTCGTTACCTGGGTTTCAAATTTAAACTTTGCCACTTGGTCGATCTTACATATGAGCAACGCTGTGTAACATTACATCTTCTACCCTTGTATATTAGGCGTAATATTTCAGACCTAGTATTCCTGCTCAGTCTTGCTCAGGGCAAGATCGATTGCCCTAATCTACTTAGTATGATTAGGTTAAGAACACCCGTTAGAAGATTGCGTGACAACTCTTTACTTTATCTTCCGTCGAGCCACACCAACTTCAGAAAAAATAGCTATCTGCCTAGAGTTTTCACCGAGTTGAACAAGCTAAATAGTGACAGTGGTTTTGATCTTTTTAGTACAAGTACTGGAAGTGCTAGATCCTATTTAACCGTCAGATTTGCTGATAGTGTTGCCTGCACTACTGCAGTGTGAGCTGTGACTCTTGGTTCTGCATGTGTTTCAATTTGTTTTCATCTATTTACATCTTTAGTAATTTAATTAGAATGTAACTTAAGTAGAATGTTTCTTGTGTATCTGTGGAAGCTTGTTAATGGCTTTTCAACAACTAAATTACTGATGTACTTGTACTGTAGCTGTAAGCTCCCCAAATAAAATAAAATAAAATAAAATAAAATAAAATAAAATAAATAACCAAACAAAAGTCGACGTGTACATCGCCTCTCTACCTTCTGGTCGGTACAGACGCTACGACACCAGTCATTCGAGCAGTCGTGCGTGATATAGCTGCCGATAACTCGAAACCTAACCGTGAAGCCCTGCGCGAGATCACCAGAAGCAGAGCTAGCGAGAGCTTAAGAAAAAACCAGTCCCGACAAGATGAGCAAGTAAACCGAAACAGACGGACTCCCCGTGAATTCGCCCTTGGCGATTTGGTCTTGGTCATAAAGTTCTCTCAGTCCACAGGAAAGTTAGATCCGGGAATGCGCGGCCCCTACAAAGTGGTCAGCATACTACCGGGTGGTCGCTACGAGCTAACGGTGTTAAGCGGGAGCTATGGCAAGAAAACGCAGGCCGCGGCGCAATACATGGTGCCATGGCGAGGGGAGTGGTGTCCGGAGACGTGTGCTGCGTTCTTCGAGAGCGAGTATTCATTTGTCCTTGCTCTGATCCTTAAATGTCGCTAAAATTCACGTCGGCGACTATTCTCGTGCTTAATGGTTAACACTTAGGCTGCCTTTCCTAACCCGTTTGCAATAAAATTACGTCTTACTCACCACACTTTAGAGCTAGGTACACTAAGTCATCTTAATTTCGTTATAACACTGGGGTTAGCTAGCGAATGGCCGACGGCGGGTTTGTGGGTGGCATGGAGATAGGAGTGGACGAGCGGTACTAGGTAGCGCGTGTTAAATGTGCGCGGTCTCGCTTCGGCGACCGGCGGACGTATCATTCGATGCGTATTGGTCTCGCTTCGGCGACCGGCAGACTCACCATGTGTGTAACACTAGTGGGTAGACGATTCGATCGTCTTCAGGAGGGCGCATAGTGCGTCAGCCTGGAACCAGTATGGACTGGTTAGGGACGTATGTGCCGTGTGGGTTTGCCACGTCGTCGGTCGGCCCCAGCAAGAAAAACAGCTTGCAGGCGAGGTGCAATCACTGACACCACGCCGTGGATAATAAGTGTAAAAGGGCCCTATTTTAATATTTTTGGAATATCCCTGAGGTAAATTTTGTGAGATCGAGCGTGAATGTTTACTGTGTGCTGAATGAATTAAGTGACAGAGCTATTATGAAAGGAGAATGCTTGCCTAGGTAGCATGACATACGAATGGTGATGCCTATTCCTAATGTGTTTTATACGATGTTTTCAGACGATGAATCCGAGAAATCACAGCCCATCCTCGCAGCACAAGGACCAGACTTCTCCATGCCTCTGCTAGACGATGACTCTGGAGCCGGTCCCTCAACAAGTGGCGCCGCCAGTTCCAGCGGTGCCGCACCAGGTTCGCGGGTCGAGGACAACCGCCTGTCAGGAGAGGCCGTGTTAGCTGAGTCTGACAGTGACACCTCATAACCGACCGGCCGCCTATAAAAGCAAGACGCAGACCGAAGACAATCCCTTTTTGCTCGTTGGCGCTCGACGCGGACGGATCTCTCGGACTTAGTATTGGTGGACACCTGAGCCATTTTAGTGTATCGTGTGTGTGATATGGTGACGTAGTTAGTTAAAGATCTCTTGTATTTCTGTGCAGTCGATTTGTTTCGTTTTTGGCTTATTTTTAGGTTGATTATTGTAAAAAGTGAATTAAGTTAAAGATTCCTACTTGTCTTATTTTTTTTTATCTTTAATCCGCTTCTGTTCCCCAGAATAATATATCTTTGAAAAATGCAACCATTCCATCAGTATTTTCTTATGACGTTGTCACGTTCAACTATCGTCAGTAAACCGACTTTACAGACAACCGATTTTTTTATCACGGGCGGTGCAGGTAGTGGTAAATTATTTCTGTTGAAATTAATCGTGGAGCATATTAAGCGTTGTTACGCACCAACAGTAGATATACTACTGAAGCCTAACTTTGTGGAAGTTGGGTCCTTAACCGGAGTTGCTGCTCGTCAAATTTTTGGCAAAACATGACGATAGAAAAAAATACTATAAAATCCAAAAAAATTACAGGTTAATGACTCGAGAATGCAATGCGTAAATGGCGCTATATAAATTGGCTAATCATAGAAGAAATTTCTATGGTATCTTATGAGAACCTAAGAACTCCACTCAAGAATATAAAAACAACAACAAATTATTCGGTGGAGTCAACATTTTACTATTTGGTGATATATTTCAGCTTCCTCCGGTGAAAGGGAATTGGTGTTTTGTGCAGCCATCGAGGTTTTCAGCGTAGGTTAATTTGTGGCATCAGTTTTCTTTTTGTGAACTGACCATAAACATGCGACAGCGCGATGACAACCAATTTATCGATTTATTAAACAGTTTACGGGTAGGTGAATTAACGACAGCTCAGGTGGAATTGTTATGTGAGCGGCGACACGTGCCTTTAAATGGTGAATTTACGGATGGAGCCGCCGTTCGTATTTTCCCCATTGTGAGGTGTCGACGTTTCTAAGAAAAAATTGGCAAGGAAAACGCTAAGCTGCACCGAACTTATCAAATCAACGCAGTGGATGAGTCTCGTGAAGTAGCGACATATGTATTTTTTTTTTATGGGACTAATCCCACCCACAGGCCCACCACTGTAACTCCTGTACACCAGGATCCACAGCAGTGACCCACGAACACACCGAGTTATGACACTCGGGAAGTCCCAGGAAGAAATTAAACTGTCTTGAAACTCGCAACGAAATTAATCAGAAGAAAATTGGAGGAGTTGGAAGTACAGTAAATCCACTTCCCTCCTTAGCAAAGCGGGAGACAAAATGAAGCAAAATAGGCATACACCCTTTTAAACAGGGAAACACCACGGCCACAAAATATTACGGGTCCTACGTGAGTTATATTTGATTTCTATAATATGTATGGCAGAATCGCCTTACCGCACGGAAATTCACCCTAGTTAACACAAGATCCCCATAGTATACCGCCCCAGATGTCACCTGCAAGGTATTCAGCATTATATTACGTTCATTATACCAAAGACTACATTCCCAGAGGATATGATGAGCAGATTTTTTATAGTGAGAGTTAGGTGTTGAGCATTGACACAATGGTGACTCGACTAATTTAAATGAATACAACTTGCTCTTAAAGTTACCATGACCCGTAAGAAATTGAGCGACACAGTGATCCACCTCAAGCCATGTCCTCGACAACCGTAATATTGTCAAATCTAATGCTCGGCGGTGATTTGAGGTTACCTTTTAAAAGTAGCTGGAAGGTTTTGTTGGGTGCAAAAGTTAAGCGATTACGTTAACCCCATTGAGATATCAAATACAAACATCTATTGGCTAATCTCTCAAGCCCCGCCCTAGTATCAGATTCCACCAGTAATAAGCCGTCATCAGCATACGCGTTCAGAGTACATCCGGATGGTATTGGTATCGCAAGAAAATCGTCGAAGCTGATATTCCACAAGTATGGACCTAGCACCGATCCCTGAGGACATCCCATTGTAAGCGCCTTCGACACAGAATGATGACCAAGTCTTAGTTTAGTTGTACCTTGTGAAAAGTACGAAGAGATAAGGGAATAAATATTTTTAAAGCACCCCCGTGATTTTAATTTCAGCACCAGCATGGGCCACCTAAGAAAATAGCCAGCACGTATTGAAATTTTGACTCTGTCACAAACTTTCTAACCGATATAACAGCGTCAGTTGTCGATTTACCCAACGTAAATCCAAATTGTCTATCATGAAATTTGACTCCACCTGGCAGAAGCCGGGGCACTACAAGACGTTCTAAAAGCTTTCCTAACGATGGTAACAATGTGATTGGTCGGTAGGATTTAGGATCATCCGGTGGCTTGTCGACACTTTTTGGTATTCTACGAATATTACCGCATCGCCATATACGAGGAAATATTCCTTCAGCAATGCAACGTTTAAAGACAGTGAAAATTGTGTCACCCGAAAGTTTACAAGCTTCTTTTATCATTTTGTTAGATATTTTATCATTGCCCGAAGCCTTGTTTAGCGGCAAGGATATAATGATACCGAGAAATTCGTCTGAAGATGGTAAATCAGATACTAGATGATACACAGATGACAGACAGACAGACAGATGACAGATACACAGACGGTAATCACACACTAGCCCACTGCCTGATCTGTCGGTGATGATCAGTGTCGTTTACCGGCCGATCTTTTAGACTCACGAGTGAGTCTAAAAGATATTCTGCTGTTTGTTCTACTCCTGTGGTATTATTTTATTTATTTTATTTTATTTTATTTATGTATATCATTTATGGTATATCTGTTATTAATTTTGATGTTCTGTATGTATGCAAGGTCGATTGATCTATTTGCCTTAAATTCGTGATACAAAGGTGACCACGGGCCCTCTCTATCGAGTTTATCAACAAGTTTCTGAATTAAGTTTCCCTTGGATTTTTCCACAGCAGCTCTGTAGTGGGATCTGGCAACTCTAAGAGCAATGAGAGCATTATTGTACAAATCTCCTGTTACGTTAGGTTTTTTAATAGTGTTTAATTTTCTACGAGCTTTCCGGTAGCTTCTACGTAGTTCGGCTAATCTATCATTCCACCAATCACATCTACGAGTGTTAGTGATAGATCCGCGACCAATAGTTATATCAGCGCAGTATGTAAAGGTTTCTGATAGTATTTCTACGCTTTCCTCAGCTGATAAACTACTGCGACTGAAGTCTTTGGTATGAGTTGCAAAGAGTGAACCAAACAAAGCCCAGTTCGCACCTTTAGTTTTACATCTAAAATTATAGGGAGCCCTTTGTGGATCCTGTGCAACCCTTGGTATGAATTGGTACACGATCAAGCGGTGATCACTACAGGATGCGTCCGGAAGGACACGCCATCCGGATAAGTAAGCGTCACGTCAATAGAAGACTCACCCATTGGGTTGCAAAAAGTTGGTGTTGCATCGGGGGTATTGTGAATAATAAGATTCATTTCCGCTATGAAATCTTCAACCGCACAACGTCGAACCGTGTCGGTTGAAAGCAACTTGCCATACCATAATGTACTATTCAAGACAACAAAACATGGAATGCGATTTTTTGGGCGCGCGGGATCGCGGTAAAATTACAAGATTGCTTCAACAGCAGCCCGATGTCTATAATGACCTCATAGACGAATGGCAACAACGCTGGGATGAATCATCCAAGGGGCGCCATCTTTACCAATTCTTTCCATCTGTTCGCGAACGGTTGTCGAGGATATGGCTTGAGGTGGATCACTGTGTCGCTCAATTTCTTACGGGTCATGGTAACTTTAAGAGCAAGCTTTATTCATTTAAATTAGTCGAGTCACCATTGTGTCAATGCTCAACACCTAACTCTCACTATTTTACTTTGACTGCACGCATGGCGTAGTGGTTTAAGCGGTCGCCATGCCGCTTCCTACTGCGCTGAGTGTTGTGGGTTCAAACCCCACATGGGACAACACTTTGTGTGATCCACAAATTGTTGTTCTGAGTCTGGGTGTTCTTTGTGTCCGTTTCATGTATGTTTGTAAAGTCCCCCGCGACACAGGATATATTCCTAATGCGGGAGTTGTCTTTTTTTAATAAATAATAATAAATAAACTATGAACAGTCTGCTCATCATATCCTCTGGGAATGTAGTCTGTGGTATAATGAACGTAATATAATGCTGAATACCTTGCAGGTGATATCTGGGGCGGTATACTATGGGGATCTTGTGTCAACTAGGGTGAATTTCCGTGCGTTTAGGCGATTCTGCCACACATGTTATATAAGTCAAACATAGCTCACGTAGGACCCGTAATATTTGTGGCCATGGTGCTTCCCTGTTTAAAAGGGTGTATGCCCATTTTACTTCATTTTGTCTCCCGCTTTGCTAAGGAGGGAAGTGGATTTACTGTATTTCCAACTCCTCCAATTTTCTTCTGATTAATTTCGTAGCGGGTTCCAAGACAGTTTAATTTCTTCCTGGGACTTCTCGAGTGTCATAACTCGGTGTGTTCGTGGGTCACTGCTGTGGATCCTGGTGTACAGGAGTTACAGTGGTGGGCATGTGGGTGGGATTAGTCCCAATACCATAATGAAGATGACGCATTGACATAAGCGCCAATGATAATTTTATGTCCCACGAGGAACTGCAAGACGTAACGTAAGTGATGTAAGTGAGGATCAATAGGATGTGAATATTGAAAATAGCAGCTCACTACGTAAACCTTACAAGTAGAGGATGAGATCTCAGCAACGGCGCAGTGTGACGTCATAAGATTACGCAAAGATGTTACTGTAAAATTAGAACTTGAAACAAATATCCCAGCCTGCGAACGGCAGTCAAGCTGTACTACATTACGACGCAAGCGAGCGCTCTGATATTGTTCTTGTATAAAGACAATGTCTAACTTTTGTTCTAAAATTAAACGGTCTAATTCTGATGTAGCTATTT